AGAACTAGAACAGAACTAGAACAGAACTAGAACAGAACTAGAACAGAACTAGAACAGAACTAGAACAGAACTAGAACAGAACTAGAACTAGAACTAGAACAGAACTAGAACAACTAGAACAGAACTAGACAGAACTAGAACAGAACTAGAACAGAACTAGAACAGAACTAGAACAGAACTAGAACAGAACTAGAACAGAACTAGAACAGAACTAGAACAGAACTAGAACAGAACTAGAACAGAACTAGAACAGAACTAGAACAGAACTAGAACAGAACTAGAACAGAACTAGAACAGAACTAGAACAGAACTAGAACAGAACTAGAACAGAACTAGAACAGAACTAGAACAGAACTAGAACAGAACTAGAACAGAACTAGAACAGAACTAGAACAGAACTAGAACAGAACTAGAACAGAACTAGAACAGAACTAGAACAGAACTAGAACAGAACTAGAACAGAACTAGAACAGAACTAGAACAGAACTAGAACAGAACTAGAACAGAACTAGAACAGAACTAGAACAGAACTAGAACAGAACTAGAACAGAACTAGAACAGAACTAGAACAGAACTAGAACAGAACTAGAACAGAACTAGAACAGAACTAGAACAGAACTAGAACAGAACTAGAACAGAACTAGAACAGAACTAGAACAGAACTAGAACAGAACTAGAACATAACTAGAACAGAACTAGAACAGAACTAGAACAGAACTAGAACAGAACTAAAACAGAACTAGAACAGAACTAGAACAGAACTAGAACAGAACTAGAACAGAACTAGAACAGAACTAGAACAGAACTTGAACAGAACTTGAACAGAACTAGAACAGAACTAGAACAGAACTAGAACAGAAATGAAACGGAACTTGAACTGAACAAGATTTTAAATTTTTCAATTTTCTAGTTTTTCAATTACAGACAAAAATATTAAATAGTAAATATAAATATTAAAATGTTTGTTTATTTCAAATAGTCAGATATTTACACAGCTGAAATATTTAATGTATTTAATAGTTTGAAATTAAGCGCTGATACTTGTTCGCACAACTAGGTTTACGATATAAAAACAATCAAAGACTCTTCACAAATTAAATATTTAAACAATTTAAATAATTTTTAAACTAAATTTAAAATAAATATTTCTCTTTACTCATACTCAAAAAAGTCCAGCTCTTTAAAAACTTTCGTCGAACGTTCTATTATTTGATCTTTAAATCGCCACAAACTTAAATCCACGACAAGAACTTTTTGGGGCTTTTTATTGCGAGGCTCGCGATAATGTTGCAATTGGGCGACATTACCATCAAACGAATAACTGCGGCACACATTCTTCGTTCTATGTATAGAGAAGTGATTATGGGTGGCTATAACACGATCAGTACTATGCAAACATTTCGTAGCTGAATCGGGTCGTATATGTTTCAACACTCGTTCCACATGTTGCAACATATAGAAGTATTCGGGTATTTGATTGGTATAACCGACCTTTTTAGGGAGACAGGGAAAAGGCATGCAGCGAAAACAAAAACTGGCAAATTTTTTGCAATTTTTGGTGGTGACCTTTTCCGCAAATGTCATTAAATCATGCCAATTGGTAATATTACCCAAAGGCAAGGGAATTTCATCTGTATCCACTACGGCCACATATTTATAACGATACATATTGCGATACAAACAATCATTATACGAAACCACTTCGTGCATATTATAGGAGTGATGATTTTTATACATTTCCAAATGCCGATACCTTGGCAGGTTGCTTACAGCTGTAGACAAACTCATGGGTCTATATTCGAGAAATCCTGTATCTTCATAATATTTTAAAACTTTGGTGGTATTGGGATGTACTTGTAAACGATACATATCAATTTTTTGCGCACCCAAAATACGCATAGTTTCTATATATTCCACAAAACGGTGAGACATATCCACATGAGGAAAATCTACTCCCTTAACACACACAGCAAATTCTTTTCTTTTTTCTCCTGGACGCAGATAATTGTATGTAACTCTAACATTATTGGTGGCCTTGTCACAGGGCTTAGAGACCAGTGATATAGATTTTGGTACCCTATTCTTATGTTCTGCTGGTACAGGACATGCTATTAAATGGGGATAGTTAAACTCTAGACTATGACCCCATCCGAAAAGCCATATTTTATGCATTAGCTTTAGGGGAGTTATAAACGGTCGTGGTTGACCGTCATACCACAGCTGACAATAGGTTAACGGATATTCCTCATTTGATTTAGATATAAAATTAATCATTATCAGCACACGCACTACAGGATGATTTTCCACCACAGTGGGTCTATTGTCATAGTAGGCTCCAAATATATACTGGGAAATATTGCCATTTTTGAACTCTTGCCAATAGTCATTGTGAATCTTTACATCGCGTAGTGTGGGATACCGAGCACATGATTTGTTAAAACTCCGCGTTTTATATTTTGGATTTTTGAGATCCTCAATGGGCAAATATGGAATATCCTGGGCAATATTGCTTATCAGCCAGTCTTCATTAGGGGCTGTGGCGAAGCAAGAAGGAAATATTATTAAAAAAAAAAATTACGCTAGAAAGAAGGAACAGAATTGGAACAGAACTTAAGCAGAACTAGAACTGAACTAGAACTGAACTAGAACTGAACTAGAACTGAACTAGAACTGAACTAGAACTGAACTAGAACTGAACTAGAACTGAACTAGAACTGAACTAGAACTGAACTAGAACTGAACTGAACTAGAACTGAACTAGAACTGAACTAGAACTGAACTAGAACTGAACTAGAACTGAACTAGAACTGAACTAGAACTGAACTAGAACTGAACTAGAACTGAACTAGAACTGAACTAGAACTGAACTAGAACTGAACTAGAACTGAACTAGAACTGAACTAGAGCTGAACTAGAACTGAACTAGAACTGAACTAGAACTGAACTAGAACTGAACTAGTACTGAACTAGAACTGAACTAGAACTGAACTAGAACTGAACTAGAACTGTACTAGAACTGAACTAAAACTGAACTAGAACTGAACTAGAACTGAACTAGAACAGAACTACACTAGGACGGAACTTGAACTTTTTCTTCTTTTTTTAACTTTACCTTGCCTTTTGTCTAATTTAAGAATTGAACTAGACTGAACTAGAACTGACTAGAACTGAACTAGAACTGACTAGAACTGAACTAGAACTGAACTAGAACTGAACTAGAACTGAACTAGAACTGAACTAGAACTGAACTAGAACTGAACTAGAACTGAACTAGAACTGAACTAGAACTGAACTAGAACTGAACTAGAACTGAACTAGAACTGAACTAGAACTGAACTAGAACTGAACTAGAACTGAACTAGAACTGAACTAGAACTGAACTAGAACTGAACTAGAACTGAACTAGAACTGAACTAGAACTGAACTAGAACTGAACTAGAACTGAACTAGAACTGAACTAGAACTGAACTAGAACTGAACTAGAACTGAACTAGAACTGAACTAGAACTGAACTAGAACTAGAACTGAAATAGAACTGAACTAAATTAGAACTGAACTAGAACTAGAACTACACTCGGACGGAACTAGAACTGAACTGGAACTGAATTAGAACTGAACTAGAACTGAACTAGAACTGAACTAGAACTGAACTAGAACTGAACTAGAACTGAACTAGAACTGAACTAGAACTGAACTAGAACTGAACTAGAACTGAACTAGAACTGAACTAGAACTGAACTAGAACTGAACTAGAACTGAACTAGAACTGAACTAGAACTGAACTAGAACTTGTTTTTTCTCACAATTTAGCCAGCACGGTTTAAAACACGTCCGTATATGTTCGCAACGAAACTAGAACAGAACTAGAACTGAACTAGAACTGAACTAGAACTCAACTAGAACTCAACTAGAACTGAACTAGAACTGAACTAGAACTGAACTAGAACTGAACTAGAACTAAACTAGAACTGAACTAGAACTGAACTAGAACTGAACTAGAACTGAACTAGAACTGAACTAGAACTGAACTAGAACTGAACTAGAACTAGAACTAGAACTGAAATAGAACTGAACTAAATTAGAACTGAACTAGAACTAGAACTACACTCGGACGGAACTAGAACTGAACTGGAACTGAATTAGAACTGAACTAGAACTGAACTAGAACTGAACTAGAACTGAACTAGAACTGAACTAGAACTGAACTAGAACTGAACTAGAACTGAACTAGAACTGAACTAGAACTGAACTAGAACTGAACTAGAACTGAACTAGAACTGAACTAGAACTGAACTAGAACTGAACTAGAACTGAACTAGAACTGAACTAGAACTGAACTAGAACTGAACTAGAACTGAACTAGAACTGAACTAGAACTGAACTAGAACTGAACTAGAACTTGTTTTTTTCTCACAATTTAGCCAGCACGGTTTAAAACACGTCCGTATATGTTCGCAACGAAACTAGAACAGAACTAGAACTGAACTAGAACTGAACTAGAACTGAACTAGAACTCAACTAGAACTCAACTAGAACTGAACTAGAACTGAACTAGAACTGAACTAGAACTGAACTAGAACTGAACTAGAACTGAACTAGAACTGAACTAGAACTGAACTAGAACTGAACTAGAACTGAACTAGAACTGAACTAGAACTGAACTAGAACTGAACTAGAACTGAACTAGAACTGAACTAGAACTGAACTAGAACTGAACTAGAACTGAACTAGAACTGAACTAGAACTGAACTAGAACTGAACTATAACTGAACTAGAACTGAACTAGAACCAGAACTACACTAGGACGGAACTTGAACTTTTTCTTCTTTTTTTAACTTTACCTTGCCTTTTGTCTAATTTAAGAATTATTTTTTGTTTAAAACTTAAAAAATGTCCACCATATATCCAGAGCAAAAGAGTTATAGTGATTACTAAAGACAGAAATTTAAAATTTTTCGCAACTATTAGCATTATGAAGTTTGTCTAGAATTTCTTCACTTGGATGATTAAAACTAACTGTATAGATATTGCGTAAACATAGTTCTCTTGCTTTCCATGCATATATTCTAAATAAATGTTGAAATATTTTATTTAAATAAAGTTTTATTTACATAAGTATTTGGCGTCAGTGTGTATTGTTTGACGATGTTGAATTTTTTTTTTTTTTGATCGTCTAGAACAATGATCGGCATAAAGAGAAAAATTTTTTTTGGAAAAATGTTGGCTTGCGAAGACATATAGGGTTAGGAAGTAAATTTTTCGACTGTATTTTATAATTATATCAACATGAACCTATGAAAAGCCAATCTCGGATCTAGTTGTTTATTCTTAACTAATTTTTTGTTTGTTAACTGTTATTTAATGTATACGTTTTTTTTATAGCAAAAAAAATCTATATAAACGTTTTATGCAATGTTTTTTCCCAACTTTCCTTTTGCTGTTGGAAATATAATTTTTCATTATATTTTGTTGTTTTTTCCTAGTTGTTGTATTATATTACTTTTGTTATTTGGCCTCTTGTCCTGCAGCTATAAACTAATTGCCATGTTTGTTTATAAAAGTGTAATAATTTTTTGTTGTTGTTGTTTGTCTATCTGTTTGCTACATAGTTGTTGTTACTTTTGCACTTAATATTTAAGTTTTTACTTGATTGTTGCAGTTGCTACTACATACAACTTGCTTTGGTCATGTAAGCAAAAAACCGAACACAGTAGCAATAACAACGACAGCAACAATAACTTTTCTATTATGACTCTAAAGAAGAACAAAAACAACAACAATTACAACATGGCAAAGTTTTTTATAAAATAAATATACAACTTTTGTTTACTAAATAAATAAGGAAGCTTTAACAATATTTTACTTATAACTTTAGATACAAAGTGGATTATAATAAGAGGTAGCTATAGGTATAGTTGAGATTATGATCCGAAGAAAATCGAGACTATAGTTTAGTCTATCGTCGAAACTAAAGTCTGCTTCCTTATCGTAACTTAAGTCTGGTTCAAAGTCAAGACTTTAGTCAGGTTCACAATTGTGGCTTTTGCCTGATCCACGGTTGGTACTATGTTTTTATCCATAGTCGAGAATATAGTTGTCAAGACATTAGTCGGGTGTATAGCCTACACTATACTCTGTTATCTATAGTCTAGTCTATTGTCAAGACATTAGTCCAGTCTATAGTCCAGTCTATAATCCAGTCTATAGTCTAGTCTATAGTCTAGTCTATAGTCTAGTCTATAGTGTAGTCTATAGTCTAGTCTATAGTCTAGTCTATAGTCTAGTCTATAGTCTAGTCTATAGTCTAGTCTATAGTCTAGTCTATAGTCTAGTCTATAGTCTAGTCAATAGTCTAGTGTATAGTCTAGTCTATAGTCTAGTGTATAGTCTAGTCTATAGTCTAGTCTATAGTCTAGTCTATAGTCTAGTCTATAGTCTAGTCTATAGTCTAGTCTATAGTCTAGTCTATAGTCTAGTCTATAGTCTAGTCTATAGTCTAGTCTATAGTCTAGTCTATAGTCTAGTCTATAGTCTAGTCTATAGTCTAGTCTATAGTCTAGTCTATAGTCTAGTCTATAGTCTAGTCTATAGTCTAGTCTATAGTCTAGTCTATAGTCTAGTCTATAGTCTAGTCTATAGTCTAGTCTATAGTCTAGTCTATAGTCTAGTCTATAGTCTAGTCTATAGTCTAGTCTATAGTCTAGTCTATAGTCTAGTCTATAGTCTAGTCTATAGTCTAGTCTATAGTCTAGTCATAGTCTAGTCTATAGTCTAGTCTATAGTCTAGTCTATAGTCTAGTCTATAGTCTAGTCTATAGTCTAGTCTATAGTCTAGTCTATAGTCTAGTCTATAGTCTAGTCTATAGTCTAGTCTATAGTCTAGTCTATAGTCTAGTCTATAGTCTAGTCTATAGTCTAGTCTATAGTCTAGTCTATAGTCTAGTCTATAGTCTAGTCTATAGTCTAGTCTATAGTCTAGTCTATAGTCTAGTCTATAGTCTAGTCTTATAGTCTAGTCTATAGTCTAGTCTATAGTCTAGTCTATAGTCTAGTCTATAGTCTAGTCTATAGTCTAGTCTATAGTCTAGTCTATAGTCTAGTCTATAGTCTAGTCTATAGTCTAGTCTATAGTCTAGTCTATAGTCTAGTCTATAGTCTAGTCTATAGTCTAGTCTATAGTCTAGTCTATAGTCTAGTCTATAGTCTAGTCTATAGTCTAGTCTATAGTCTAGTCTATAGTCTAGTCTATAGTCTAGTCTATAGTCTAGTCTTAGTCTAGTCTATAGTCTAGTCTATAGTCTAGTCTATAGTCTAGTCTATAGTCTAGTCTATAGTCTAGTCTATAGTCTAGTCTATAGTCTAGTTATAGTCTAGTCTATATTCTAGTCTATAGTCTAGTCTATAGTCTAGTCTATAGTCTAGTCTATAGTCTAGTCCTATAGCTCTAGTCTATAGTCAGTCTATAGTCTAGTCTATAGTCTAGTCTATAGTCTAGTCTATAGTCTAGTCTATAGTCTAGTCTATAGTCCTAGTCTATAGTCTAGTCTTAGTCTAGTCTTAGTCTAGTCTATAGTCCTAGTCTATAGGTCTAAGTCATAGTCTAGTATCTAGTCTAGTCTACGTCTAGTCTATAGTCTAGTCTATTCTAGTCTATAGTCTAGTCTAGTCTAGTCTATAGTCTTAGTCTAGTCTGTCTAGTCTTCGATAGTCTAGTCTATAGTCCTAGTCTATAGTCTATTCTATAGTCTAGTCCTATAGTCTATCTATAGTCCAGTCTATAGTCTAGTCTATAGTCCTAGTCTATAGTCTAGTCTATAGTCTAGTCATAGTCTAGTCTATAGTCTAGTCTATAGTCTAGTCTATAGTCGAGTCTAGGATATTCTAGTCTATAGTCTAGTCTAATAAATGGTCTAGTCTATAGTTTAGTCTAAGTCTAGTCCATAATCTAGTCTATAGTCTAGTATTTATTCTAGTCTATAGTCTAGTCTATAGTCTAGTCTTTAGTCTAGAGTGTAATCGGGACTATAATCTAACATATAGTCTAGCCTATTGTATAGTCTAGCATTTTGTCTTTACTATAGCGTAGTCTATAATCAAGTCTATCTTATGATCTAAATCAGGGCTATTGTCTGGTCTATCTATAATCGGGACCATAGTTTAGTCTATAGTCTAGTGTATAGTGCATACTTTATGCTATAGACTAGAGTCTAGTTTCGACTACAGCCTATTTTATAGTCAGGACTATAATTTGATCTTCGTCTATGCTTGGCCTAAAGTATGGTCTAAAGCTAAGGCTGCAGTCTAGTCTATAGTCGAAGTTGTAGTCTGATTTGTAGTAGAGACTATATTCACGAATATTATCGAGTCAGCTATATCAACGGTTCCCAAATGGGGGTCCGCGGACCCCTAGTGGTCCGTAGTAAAATCCTAGGGGGTCCGCGAAGACGAACGAAAAAAAACTATGAATAAACAATATTCTGCTTTTATATGTATGTACAAATATCTCCAATTTTTTTTTGAATTTTATTTTTTCGGTTGTTTATCAGGAAGAAGCTAGGCTAGAATTTATTGTATAACTTTTATAAAGTAAAGTATTGCGTGATTTGTAATTTTTATTTCCTGTATATGTACTGAAATAATGGTTTTTATTTCAGACAAATAATACTCTGCCTTACAATTAAATTAGGGATACTGGTATTCCGGAGTATGAAGTTCAATTCAAAGATAAGCTTATTACAGATTTAAGTTTATCAAATTGTAAGCAAAGTGTTCTCGTTTGAAAGGACTAAAATTATATATTTCCAAAACAGACTCTTTATGCATCTCTTTATAAATATTCCAATCCGACGTGATACACAGATTTTAACTTGATTTTGTCGACCAATACATATTATTAAATTAACATCAGAAAATCCATAGCGTTTCGCGTAAATATGTAGCCAAAAACCATGAAGTAAAATAATTCGTTGGTATTTTAAAATTCAAATTTAAGTTCCAAATTCACAGTACTTTAACAAAGAGTTCAAATCATATATACCGCAACAACATAGAAGAAGTCCAACTTTCATATATTATTTTCCCGAAAACTTAGCACACTTACTCAGTTCACCCTTTGCAATCGCAACAAATTTTTGAAACGTGACTCCTTAAGCACATGTGACAATATCCGATAAAGAAACCTTTTCGCTACCTTGAAGAAAAATGAACATGAAAGATCTCACGATCAAAAAATTAAACATCATGTTAACATATCAACAAAGAAGTCATTCTATCTTCAAACATGCAATTGAAAACCTATCTGAAATATTATATATTCTCAATGTACGGGAATATTTTATAGATATGACATCTCTACATTTATTAGACCTAGGGATTAATGAACTAGGTCAATTTTCGGATGGACAATTATTTAGAACAATAAGATATCAAAATATGTATGGGGGTCCGCGAAATTAAATAAGTTCTTCAAGGGGTCCGCGAAGTAAAAATCGGTGGGAACCGCTGAGCTATATAATATATAGTTAACACGTTAATGTAGTGTATATAAAGTCGAGACTTATCTATAATCTAGACCTAAGTCCATACTATATCAGATCGACCTATGTTTGGCTCCTGTTTACTATTTCAACAAAAAAAAATTGAATTTATTTCACTTTAGTTTTACTCTACAATCAATTTAAACGGAGTTACGCTTGCATTTATGAGCAACCCCATTTCACAAATAAACATTTTAACATAATTGCTTTTTTTCTACCTATCTTGACACTTTTAAAAATGGGTTATACTGGTAGCCATATAAGGACCAACACACAAATCATTTTATCTTATTATATATGCTGGAAACGTACATAGCTAAAAATCTCTTCCGAAAACATATTTATCTTGAAAGTATGCTGTATTTTATGCATAATTAAAACAGCCTATAGTTATGCTACAAGGAGAGAAAATCATATTTATAATTAGTTTAGTCATAAAATATAATTTCATTAAATTTTCTTTG